CTTTTGGTCATTTTTGAAATGCGTGAAGAGTTATAAAGGTCGCCTTCCATCTCTGCAGGACAAAACTGGCGAAGTATCGGATGATGTTAAGCGTGCCGAGTTATTTAATAGAGCATTTGCAGATAAGTTCTCGAATCCGTATGTGGAACATTTACCACCGGCACACGATTTTGATTTGCCTGCAATGACAGACTTTGAAGTTTCCTCTTCCTCCATCGGTTTGATTTTGGACAACTTGAATGTGCATAAGGCCTCCGGGCCGGATAATATAAGTGCGCGTATCATAAGAGAATGTGCTAATCAACTGGTTGTTCCTATCACTATAATTTGTAGGCTCTCTTTAAAACAGGGCCTTTACCCAGCTAGATGGAAGGAAGCTAATATTATTCCTGTTTTTAAGAGTGGAAACAAGAGAAACCCTACAAATTATAGGGCGGTATCAGTGACCCCTTTGTTTGGTAAAGTGCTTGAAATAGTCGTTCGAGACCAGTTATTTGCTCACGTGAAACCTGCTCTTTCTGAGAACCAGCACGGGTTTTTACCTGGGCGATCTTGCGAAACGAATTTGGCTTGTATGCTAAGCACTGCCTGGGATTCTATTGCGAATGGCAGACAAACTGACGTGATATACACAGATTTTCAATCCGCATTCCAAAGCGTTAACCACCAGCTTCTCATTCATAAGCTTAATAAATCCTATTGTATCAACGGGCTGGCTCTGAGCTGGTTTAGATCCTTTCTGTCGGATAGAAAACAAAGAGTCGTTGTGAACGGTAAGTGCTCCTCGTGGCAGGACGTTCTCTCTGGTACACCGGAAGGAAGTGTAATTTCGCCATTGCTTTTCGCTCTTTTCGTTAACGATTATCCATTGTGTGTTCAAACAAAATGCTTAATGTTTGCGGATGACATCAAGGTGTACTCAGAGATTTCAGATTTGACAGATACTGCACGGCTACAAGGGGATATTAGGAGACTTTATAATTGGTCGAAAACTTGGAAATTGAAATTGAATCCCTCCAAGTGCAAGCAGTTCTGTATTACCTTAAAAAGTGACCCCCTTACTTGTCAATACATGATTGGTGACACTCGCCTGGAAATCGTGCACACAATTAGGGACTTGGGGGTGGTTTTAGACAGACGACTCACGTTTTGTAATCATGTTAACTTTATTGTGTCTAGGGCAAACAAAATGAACGGCATTCTTATGAGGGCGATGCAGTCTGAATCAAAAATTGGCATAGTAAACTGGAAGTCAATTTTGACCGCCTTCTATGGAAATGTTCGTGCGATATTAGAATATTGTTGTGTCATATGGGGTGGTGCGGCAAAATCGCACTTAGATAGAGTAGAAAAGATACAGTATCACTTTCTCAGATGGCTATACTTTTATGTAAATCGAAGCGCGATACCATCCGATATTGATTATTCTCGTTTGCTCCAAATGTTTAACGTAACTGAATTAGAGAAAAGACGCCATCAATACGATATCATGTTTGTGGAAAAACTGTACAAAGGTGTCCTCGACTCACATGTACTATTGGCACGGTTTCCGCTGTATGCTGCTCCAAGAATTACAAGGAGGATTGAAGGAGCTCGTGGTGTCATGAATGTACCATTTGCGCGGGTCGACACTATGAAAGGTTCGCTTTTTGTTAGGGCACCCACTATCATAAATGAATTTATGTTCGAGATAACAGATTTGGATTTGTTTCACGACTCAATGCGGGATGTTCGGGCTAAAGTAAGACGACATATACAAAACATGTGAGTCCTGGTGTGAACCGCGTGACTGTATTTATTGTGTTATGCATGTACTGTATGGACTGTGTGATAGATATGGTTGGTATATCGAGGGATTGTATGTGTAAGAGACGAAAGACTCAAGGCAATGTTTACACTGCTCCGAACGTATAACTGCTATGGACTGTTACTGGGCGTCAATTCGCCTGTTGTTCCATGACATCGAATAAATAAATAATTAGTGAGGGTTCATGATACCAACAAAATACCAAACACATTAGGATTGAAATACCAAATACCGAGTTGGTATCGGTTTGGTATCGGTATACCAAAAAGTCGGTATCCGATTGACATCTCTACTAGGAAACGCGACCGAAAACGGGGATGCACCTTCATTCCTATGTCGTCGAAATCCTCCCTGAGTACTAAAAACCACTGCACAGCGTTTTCATAAATTGTATCTCTCCTTCAGGTGGTGACAAGTAGGCACCTTCCCCGCCGTTAACCGTAGCCGTCGTCCAGTTGAATCCACCACCCACCTCGTTCCGCCGCCCGTGTTCGGTGTGCACACAGGTGTGTGGCCCACTGTCCTGGCTCGATCACCATCAGAACCATTACCCTACATACTCGCACCAGAGTACACAGTTCGCGTGCACGCTGACCTACACCCCGAGCGTCCGCTTCCACCTACCGCGGCGCTGACAGGCAGGTGTGACATAGCGGTCCGCTTCCACCAAGCGCGGCACTGACAGGCAGGTGTGACATAGCGGTCCGCTTCCACCAAGCGCGGCACTGACAGGCAGGTGTGACATAGCGGTCCGCTTCCACCAAGCGCGGCACTGACAGGCAGGTGTGACATAGCGGTCCGCTTCCACCAAGCGCGGCACTGACAGGCAGGTGTGACATAGCGGTCCGCTTCCACCCACCGCGGCACTGACAGTCAGGTGTGACATAGCGGTCCGCTTCCACCTACCGCGGCACTGACAGGCAGGTGTGACATAGCGGTCCGCTTCCACCCACCGCGGCACTGACAGTCAGGTGTGACATAGCGGTCCGCTTCCACCTACCACGGCACTGACAGTCAGGTGTGACATAGCGGTCCGCTTCCACCTACCACGGCACTGACAGGCAGGTGTGACATAGCGGTCCGCTTCCACCTACCACGGCACTGACAGGCAGGTGTGACATAGCGGTCCGCTTCCACCTACCACGGCACTGACAGGCAGGTGTGACATAGCGGGTCGGCCGGCGCAGTGTCCTACGGCCCACGCCGTGTCGTACACACCGCCCTCCCTCCCTGGTCCGGTCGTAATACGGACATTATCACCTGCCCAGTGTCAGACATATGGCACCTGCCTTCACCTGCCTGCCCCCACGCGGCGGCCCTGGGAGTGGCCCGCTCCCACGCAGCACCTCCCACGCACTTCCAGGAGCCTGCGGCGCTGACACCTGGCTCGTATTGGTGGCGGATAGCTCGTATTGAGCCGCCGACGCAGTGCCATCCGGCCATCGAGCTGCGCCAGCCATGGCCGACGGTTTATGACGGTCGTTATGGTTGGTGTGTAAATGGGCATCGTTTGAAACGGGCTCATGGTCCACTTTTGGATAGGAGGCAACCTAAAAATGTGGTATCCACGTCAGCTGCTTTTGTATATTAGCCGTCAGATGCTATATGCACGTTCGACAGATGGCAAATCTTACTTCCTTCCATTGTGTATTGTCGCCCATCAATCGTACTTACTTCCATCAGTCGACTTGTCTCCGTCGTACTTGCTTCCATCAGTCGCTGAACCTACGACTTTTGATCGCTGTACTTACATCAGTCGCTGTAGCTACATATTCCTGCCAGTCGCGGCGGGTCACACGTTGAGCGGGTCTCTAGTGACCCCGGCGGACCCTGTCGAGTGCGTGGCTCCTTCCGTCGATGACGTCACGTGGCCCGGGCCGCTGGTGACGTCACGGGGCCGGCGATCGACCTGACGCGCTGCTCCGGTAATGTGCCAGCGGGCCGAGCGAGCCGCCGGCAGCGCAGCCAGGCCCGGGCCGAGAGGAACGATGGAGTCACAGGCCCGCTCGGCGGGCATGTCAATAGCCCCGCCCTCAGCCCCTGTTCCCGGTCCACGCCAGGCGGACTGGAAGGGCGGGAAGCATGTCCAAATCTGAGCGAGAATGGGCGGGAATATATGCTGGCAAGTGGCAAACACACGGGGCCGTCGCATAATGTGCAGTGACCGATCTGTCGACGCGCCATCAAACACCAACAAACAAACTAGCAAACTAGCCATCATGGACCTACCTCTGAATGTGTATGCACGTCTTGTGTGCGTCAGTCGTGCATGTTATACGTTTTGCTCATGTTCTGGTGACTCCACTGCGATCTCCCGCACAAACCACAACATTTCCAACTGGACACTACCCACCGGCTCGCAATTGAGGTACATACGACGTGCCTTCGAGCGCCCCAACCTCCTGTGATGTCTCACAGTTTCTCATAAAGCCAGTTTAAGCAGGCACCCGCCGGCTTCTCAGGGCCCCGTTAATACGACTGGAAGTACTGTCATGTAGGTATGCAGCAATGCATCCTGCCGTTCCCAGTGAGGTCGTGCATCATGGTAGTCCGAAGCATATGTCGAGCAAATGTTATGCAAACTAGCAGCAAAATTTCAACTATCATGTTACTTACGGTGATAGAACCGTTATAAAAAGTCCATGCCATCTGTGCTCTACGTAGATGGCATAACATGGTGTATTCTGTGAACATCCATTGGAAACGTTCTCGTTTCACAAATTCTCGTCACACAAATTCTCAGCGGTCCAGCGGGTGTGCGTTTTCGGAGTATGTTTGTCAGCGTTGCTGACGTCTTGGCCCGGCCCGGGCCGGTGGTTTGCAGGCGCGTGGGCGCGGGCCTGTTGCGTGCGTGTGAGTGTGGCCGCTGGTGGACAGCCACTCGCCTAATGAGGCGCCCACCGGTCCCTCCGAGCCGGCCATCGCTTTGATCAGTGCGCCGCGTCCGCGCGAATGGCTGGGTGGAAACACATCGGACATTGGACACTTGTTTGCCCGAGGTTGTGCAGCAATCATGCAGCAGCCATCCGAACCCAGGCTTGCTTATTCATCAAGTTATCTAGCGGCCGACCGTCTCTCGACCTAGTCTTATTACGGACGTTTGTTCTGCCCGGCGCTGTGGGCGGCGGCAGCTGTGTTTACCAGGGGTGCTCTGTGTGCCATGACTGACCCGCTCCCCCTGACGGCGGCGCAGGACCTGGTGCGTCAGCTGCTGAACGTGGATCCCGGCCAGCGACTGACCGCCTCCGAGGCGCTGCGCCACCCGTGGCTGGTGGGAAGGGCCGCGCTGCCTGACGTCCGGCTGGGCCTGGCCGCACCCGACCTGCGCTCAGTCAAGGTATGTGCGCCTCGACACCGGTTACCAGGGGTATAGGAGCCGGTACCGGGCACCGCCTTAGCATAGACAGGATCAGTCCGGCGGGATGTGAACTGTAGAGGCTTGTATGAGTATGTGGAACGGGGAATGTTGAACTAGATATGGTAAAATATGTCATGTATGATTGAACACGGGGAGGATTGAAAATAAAACGTGGAGGTGAATGGGCCGAACGGATGGCGGTGGGCTGCCGGAAATGGCGTCACTCCGGGCCTCAGTGACTCGGTTTGCCCGGGAACACTGTCAGAAACAGCACGAAAGTTGAAGGAATCAGATTAAGGAAGATTACGTAAGCTCGTCAGTGTCTCGTGTTCTAAGCTTCAGTCAGGGACAGTGTTCCAGACATGGCATTTGATTAGGTCTGCAAATGCAATCGACCTGTTTTAAAGATATCTCGGGCAAGCCTCTGAAAGTGCTTATGTAAGAAGTGCAATGCAAACAAACACATTTGGGAGCAATAGAATTACCGCGACACGTGGCTTGTGTGGGACGTTTCGTAACACCCATGTATTCAGTTCAGTGCCGGATAGGTGCGTGTATCGATACTCCCACCCCGATCCCGTGTCGTTGGTGCGGGTGGTACGCCGTTCGCTATCGCTCTGTACTCTGGCCGGCCCGTCAGCTGTCTGCTGCTGCTCTATACTCTGACCGGGGCGTCAGCCGTTCGCTGCCGCTCTGTACTCTGGCCGGCCCGTCAGCTGTCTGCTGCTGCTCTGTACCCTGGCCGGCCCGCCAGCTGTCTGCTGCTGCTCTGTACCCTGGCTGGCCCGTCAGCCGTCCGCTGCCGCTCTGTACTCTGGCCGGCCCGTCAGCCGTCCGCTGCCGCTCTGTACTCTGGCCGGCCCGTCAGCCGTCCGCTGCCGCTCTGTATGCTGGCCGGCCCGTCAGCCGTCTGCTGCCGCTCTGTACTCTGACCGGGGCGCAGTGTGTGTGTCCGATCCCGTGTCTGTGGTGCGGACGACACGCCGTCCTCTGCCGGCTGAGTCCTCTGACCGTCTGACCGGGTGTCGTGTGTGCCGACAGGCGGCCATCTCTGCCACGTACCGGGCCATCAACCAGAGCGCCAACACGCCCAACCTGGGCCCGGTGGCACTGTCGGAGCTGGCGCGGCGGCGCCGCAAGTCGCGCCGCTCCTCCTCGGACGTCTAGACGCCGCCGCCGCCGCCGGCCGGCCGCGCGCACCTCACTGCCTCGGCGCCTTGTGGCTACCTCTGGGACCGCGCCCGCCCGCCCGACCGGCCGGGCTCGGAGCTCGGCGGCTGGCTGCGGCCCGGCGCGGCGGGTTTTGTACCGGGGCCAACCGCCGGCGGGAACCAAGCGTAATGTCCACATTCCATTTATTCCGTGTATGCGGTGTGTGCGCCGGCTGTAGGACCCACTGTGCGGGGAGGTCAGCCGGCGGCCGTGCGCCGCCCGCGCTGACCTGAGTCGGTGACGGTCACACGCACCGTCCGGCTGTCTGCACTGTCTACTTATACAGAGATTGGAGCGCCGGGCCGTGTGTGATGAGGAGCTTAGTGATGCGTCGATTTGTGCGTGTTTGTGTGACTGTGTATGGTGGGAGGAGTGTTACCATCCGATGGTGTGCCGATGTCGGAGTAAGACGGGTGGTCACGACTCGTGGCGGAACGCCGTCACTCGTGAGGTGCCAGTAGGGGCCGGCTGGTCCCGGCCGCCGGCGACACGCGGGACGCGCCGCCCGCACGCCCGCCGCTCCACCGACTCATTATGATTGAATTTTGATGCGAAATATACCCATGTCATAGGCAGATTGAGGCTCTTTGATGAGCGTTTCCGGGAGAAGTTTCTAACCAACTCTTCAGTGCTCTTTGATCTTAACGCGGCCTTTTTAGTCTTAGTGGCTAGTGTTGACAAGATTGCTCTTTGAAGATGCTTTCCTTTGAACTAAACTTGTTTAAATTGTTTAAACGCGATTGGTTATGCTTCTTTTAGATCAGCTATCAGTTTTCTTTAGTTTTATTTCTGGTTTTCTTTAACATTGGATGGGACGCGGTGTCTGTCATGAGGTGCCTTTTCGTGTCCCGCAAGGTTGTTGAAAAGCGAACATCTATTGGCCGTGAGGCGAGGAGCTCAAATCCAAGTATCTCTCCGGGATCATTGAGATGCGACCTGGAAATCATATTTGATCCGCGGACGATTCCTAACAGGTTGTGTCGAGAAGTGTCCTAGGCTAGGATGTTTGGCGAGACAGTTACCTACATACGTGAGTGAGCATTCTGAGATGTTTTGATTTTTGGTATCCAGCCAATTTGCTGTCCATCATTTGCATCTTTGATGCTCATTGGTGTGAAGCACCTGTATGCTTCGGGCACAGACCACAGACTCAAAGGTGCATGTGAGGAGGTCTACGTAGATCAGGTAGATCATTTTACAGTATGGGTCGCTAGATGACACGATAGCATTCAACCCGTGTCAGCAGAGCAGATCCATGCGTCATTAATCCAAATTGCCATCCTCTTCCGGCATGTGACGGCCAATCCAATAAGGAGTCTCGGGTGCATATACCTGCCTTAATGTTGCAACACAGCCCTCTCACCTTACTTAGACAGCCACAAAGTGTGCAGCGTTGCGTTGTCGCCGCCTACGTCAGCTCAATGAGCAAACTGCGTCAGCCGCCTGCCCTCTATCAAGCGCCTCTGCGCTGTCGTAACCCTCCCATGCTGTCTCCGAATCCGAGCTCGAGATAGCCGCTGGTCCAATCAGGGCCGCGCGGCACTCCGGTAAACCACTGAGTTCCTTACCCCAGGCGTCGGCCGGCCGCGAGTGCCGCTCGTCAGCGCCAAGTTCGGTGGCAGTTCCGAGTCGCACGTCGCGTCCCCGGATCGGAAGCTGGCCACCGCCCGGCCGCGATTGACCAGTCCAGACGGCAGACACTGGCGGACGGATTCACAGAACCGGCCGCCGCCAGTCCAGCTCTCAGGGCTAACTTGCAGCGGCGGCCGGGGCCGGCTGCACGCGCTCAGCCGCCGCCGCGGGGGAGGCCTGACGTCATCGGCCCTCCCCAGACCCGGCGACGTCGCCGACGGACAAAAATGTCCTCCATAAATCGGGCGCCGCTCGTCCGGGCCGCCGCTCTGATACACGAATGTGACATAAATAAGCGCGGCGGCGACGACATGTGGTGAGCGCGCCGGCGCCGGCGGCCGCTGGATGCCCATGTGTCGACAAACTGCCCACAGCGGCGGCGCTTGGCGCTCTGTTTGCCGGCTAAATCGCCCTCGCGCATTAGGGCAGATCGGGGTTAGGTAGGCCACAGGAGAAATAGGTCATTTGCAATATCAGGGCAAGCAATAAGAAAGACCTTCTCGATTTTCCATATCTTAACGAAATTAGTGTAGTACGTCGCTGCCAAACTGGCTCCTTTTCCGGCCACTTATTACTGAGATTTGATTTATCTTATGCCATGCGTACTTTGCCCACATAGTCCTAGTGGTCTGGATTTTCCGTCTCAATAGCTGGTCATTTTTACCCCCCCTCCCCCTCTAACCCGGCCCCTGGGCCACGTAGAGAGAAGCAGCAGTTGGTGTTTGAAAGAGCGTCAAAAATAATGAAGAAAGCACTTTGGTTGTTTTCGTCAAGAACCGGGTCGCCAGCGCTCATTGAAGGTCAAATTTCGCCCTTTTCCACGATTTTCGACTAATCGGCGCATAACTCCGGAACAAATAGAGCTAAGGCATCTTGGAAAAGCGCGCTCGATAGTTCTTTAAACGCTCTTTCTGGATAATGTTCTCAGATTTGACATAAAGTCAACGTTGTACCCACCTAAGGGCAAAAACTCAAAATAGACGTATTCGCGAAAATGTTTTTCTGTAACAACTTTTTACTCAACTCGCACGACACTGATTTTACCAGCATCGTGTTCCTCTTATCGAAACGCTTCGAATGAGCTATAATTTGACCTAGAATGTTTACTTGAAAATTGAACTACGGTCAAAGTCATGATCTGACCGGAGAAGATCATATTGCCATGCATATCAGTCGATGTGTTGCACCGCACGTCGACTGTATGAGGGGCGCAGCGGCAAGGGGTTGTTTGTTTATTTGTTTGTTTATTTGTTTGTCTGTTTGTTTGTTTGTCTGTGTGTGTTTTTTTCTTGGTTAGACTCTTTCAGTGTAACGTAACATTTTCAGAGCCGGAAGGATTATAAGAATTAGGGGGAGACGGTTATATGGCCTTGGGGGAGACATCGGTCTGGGCGGGCACTTGGTGCTCCGTCGGGGCTGAGCCCATCATGAGGACAGGCCAGCCAGCCCCGCTTAAACTGGCGTGCTCCTAGGAGAGTTTCCCGCATGGGATAAAGCTGCCCGTCCAGTCCGGAACAGGGGATTGAGGCGTTGAGGAGAAGGGTTTGACTGTCCCGAGGATGGAATAGACGAAACGGAGGACAAGGGGGAGGAAAGGGCAAAGGTTGTCCCTCTCGGCCTGTTGCCTGTTCAGAGAACTAATAGGTCAGGCGAGAGTACCAACGATAACATAATACCATGTGGGGAACATAATTATAAGACCGTGATGCTGTGTTAATATGTTCACAAAAAATGAGCCACCTGCCCCCGCACCAACTCTAGGCAGATACATCATTCGGAAGGGGCGTCACATCCATGGGCTATAGTGACATGTCATGTCATCTTGGCTGACAAAACCTCATGGTCATCGATAGCGGCGCCATATCGTCAGTAGGGCACCGCTTCTGAAGTCTGAACATGCTTCAGGTGCAGTACTTATTTGCGTTGCGGTAGGCATTATTGGTAGCGTAATCTTGGTTCAACGCACGAGGACGGCGGAAAGGCGAAATAGTTCTTTAGTTTGTCACTAGATGGCAGGATCGTCGAACGCCTGAAGTCACGCTGCACCGCCGAGCACCTTAGTGCTGCGCGGCGCGCGGAGGTCGTGAAGTCTGGGAGGTGGGAGGCACGCGGTAGTGTCACAATCCGGGAGCCGTCAGGAGACAGGGCAGCTTCCCTGACATGTATTGCATGAACTACCGCATGAATGGTTTCCAAACTCGGCAATAGTGAACTGGCGGCGATGGCCCGTGGAAAACTATAGGTACTATCACATCTCAGCGAAGTTCGTCATGACCGACTGCCGTCTGCTACAGTCGGGACGATTACATTTATACATACGCAGCTTCATTTTCAGCCTCCATACAGCTAGGTACATTCAGCTCGGTCCTGAACCTGTGCCAATATGCTAAAAAAGCATTGAGAAAACAAAAAGTGAGCACCACAGATGGTACTTATTAGTCTTTCTAGGCGCATCAGTTCCTACTCAACCGTACTAGGCGTAGGCACTTCGTGTCGGGCATTCCAAAGATAAGCTAAGTATGCTTGGTAGCTTAGTAGAAGTAGCTTAGCAGCCCGTGCTTGGCAAAGCGGACTGAAATGATTTACAAACGAATGAGGGGCTTTTCCCTAACTTGTCATCTGATCTTGAAAAAGCCACAGAAAGATTTTGTTTTTATCGTTTTGAAGGCTGTCCTTCGCCATCTTCCCTTGATCCCTGACGTGTATGGCGACAGAGGCCGGTGGCGGCCGGAGCCGACCAGCGCTGTGGCCAGGCGGTCCGGCCGGCCGCGGCTGACGCGTATCGACTGGCGGTGCTGCGCGCGCCGGCCGGCGGCGACGTGGGTGGCGCGGCGGCGGCGGCGGTGGCCCAGTGCCGCGCGGCGCGGCGCCTCCACACCTGGCCAGCGCCGAGCCGACCATGCCAGGGCATGTGAGCGGCGCTCGCCAGTGAGCGCGCGTCCGCCGGCCGTCCGCCCGCGCCGCTCCGGTCGACATGGTGCTGCCGCGACTGCTGGTGATCGCCGCTGTGCTGGCACTCTGCCTGCCGGCCGGCCGGGCCGCCGAACTCTGGCGCAGGCCGGTGCTACCCGAGCCGCCGTCCGAGGACAGCGCGGCGGCCTCCTCCGACCCCTCGGCCTCCAGCGCACAGCAGGTGTCACAGGCGCTGAGTCGCACCAGCGCCGCGCTGGCTCAGCAGTTTCTCCGGAGCAGCAGAGCTGTCTCCGGGATGCACCAGCAGCCCTACGATGTGCCGCTCATAGGTCAGTATGCGGGCCGCGCTGACCGAGCTCCGTGCAGCTGGGGGGCGCTCGGCCGGGTCGGGCCGGGCGCAGTGGGGCTGTGTTAGCATAAGTCGCAATGGGCGGGGTTTTACCGTTGTGCTACGACAGTTACTGACCTTAGTTTGATCAGCATTCTTTCATTCGCAACACTTATACTACGACACCGGACAGGTACTCTACACATGTACAGTTTCCGTGAGTAGCCGTTCGTATGGCCTAGAAATACTTCTTACAGGATATTCCTGAACGTTTTAATGCGCAACATTAGCATATGAAGCATTTCGATCGCCTGCAATGTTTCAATTTTGGTCTTCCTTGCCCTTGATGTTCGCCCACGCATGTTTCGTTTATCTATGGCTCATATACAAATGTGCAGTTTCTCTGTTACGTTTGACTCGTTTTATTAGTAGGTACTCTTTCTTGCTTATTTGCTATTTTAGATAAGTCAGACTCAGAAGTCGAAGCACCGTGTGTAAGTTGAAGGCTACGAGTTTCTCACGAAACTTGGTAAGTTTTACAATTTACGTGAAAGCCCTTTTATAATTCATAAGCTGTTCACTTGCATGCGGGACGCAAGTCAGAGTTCGTGCACTTTTAAACAAATCTCTCTGGAGCTCTTGGCATATTTGATGTTTTACCTGCTCTCTGTTCTAAAATCCGTCGAGTCTCTAGCATTTAAAGCCACATGATTTTGCCCTACATACGTTCGACAATCGTCAGCCGAACGTCTGGTATTAACTTAATTCTGTGAGCGATGGAGATTGTTTCCGGAACGCGGGCCGTGGCTTTCCCCGCACACTGCAGGCGCGGTCACATATACAAAGGTGGTTACACGGTCGCTGCCCGGCGGTGCTACCTGCTGCGGTGCTGGCTCGGCCTTCCGACAATACGGCCTTGGGACGCGTACGTACTGTTCCGGCACTATCAGTGGATTATGCATGCTCAACTTGTTCCGCGTCAAGGCAGTCGGCTGGCGCGCGTCTTATTTGGGACGGTCAAAACGGTTCGGCCGGGGTCTTCCTGACCACTCACTCGATTCGGTAAAGAAATATTGCTTCATTTTCTGCGGACCTTATACGCGATAAAGCCGGCACGCGAGTTATTTGAAAATGTAATTATCGGCATTTTCTGATGCTATTACAAAAGACAATTGACACCTATCCATGTTGATAGGTGATAACTGATAGGTAGTTGACTATTTAATCTATCGATCGGAAATCAGCACACAGGAGGTGCAGTGTTCATTTTTTTTCGATTGAGTTTATTACAAAGCAAACTGTCCGCCCGGTAAAGCAACAATAAGCAAAATATTGATTTGGGGTCAGGCACTAAATTGTGTTTATTATCAGCAAACTGAGTGGAAAATTTATACGGTGGGCCGAACTATGCCGAACCTTAGGTGTTAAGCCTGAGGCGTCTTGGTGTTACACATAAATTTGTGTGTAATATATTTCATCCTAAGTATTACATATGATTTCCGAGTGACAGATGGCATGGCCGGCTTTGATTTATCATCGGATTTGTCGGTAAACTGCCTACCAAGCAGTGAGAGGAGCCCTGTGCCTAATGGTCGCGCCGATTAACGTTAATTTGATATTGGATCACAATTAGGTCGATATTTAGATAAATATATTAATGTTTAATGATCCGATTGCGCATAGTCAATGGATAGGGACGGGGTGCCATCCATAGAGGCTTTGTTAGCACCCTGTCAGGTGCCCACCGGTGGCATTGTCCCTAGAGTAGGCCACATTATCCACTGCTATTGATTCGGGCCGCACGAGGTGGTCCACATTCTGTGTCAGCACCCTAGTGACGCCACTGTGACGTCACCAGCCGGGTGTAACGTCAGCGTAACGTAACGGCCGGCTGCGTGACGCCACGGGGCCGCGGCGGTGAAGGTGTGGTCAGAAGCGCAGCTATAACCTGCCGAGGCCTTCGTCTACTAATGTCGCCCGAGGCTGACCTCTGGCCTGACTATCACTCCCGATGTCTTCCGGGCGGAACGGAGCGAAATATTGCAGGTGGATTCACATAACCTACAGCAAGCTCGAACAGGTGACCATTGGTCGCTATGGTGATGCTTTAAAACCGCTTCCTTATTGTGTGGTGGAGCATATGTAGTGAATGGCACTGTCATTACGGGCGATAGCTGTGAAGCGTGAGCAGACGTCTTCAAGGTGTGTGTGGGGCTCGGGGACGAGGCGAGGAGGCCGCGGTCGTCCATCCACCTCACTGACGAGCTGACCGCAGGCGGTGCGCTGCCGGTGGACAGTTCGCCGCCGATAAATAACCCCCGCCCTCCATCCCGAATGCATGGGCGCCGTTGCCGCCGGCTAAGTGATACAAATGGACGCGATCTGATTAGCTGGCTGGCCGCCGGGCTGGCCGGCTCGAGTTTCACTCATATCGCGCCGTCACCAGCCACCGGTGGCCAATAAAGCGACACGTAAAACGGACCAATTTCGCTGCCCCGCGGTGGAAATGGACGCCGCAGTCGATCGTAATCGTGAGTGTGTCGTGCAAGTAGTTTATGACGCATTCCTGCTAAGTGCATGCATTTGATTTCTAGAACCGTTCACCCTGAAGTTCAGCTTAAAAGTCTCATGACTCCATGATTATCATCACATTTGTGTTTAAGAAAAATAATTAATTAATTTCCATTTACCCCTTTAGAAATCCACACATAGACAGTGTTACAGTATCCGAGTTCCAATAATTTCTCGGTTATAATAAGGTATCACTGTCAGAACCAGCCAGTGTTAGAGGAGCCCTCTTTGACCTTTGGATCCCCACGGAAGCACCGCGGAACAATTTATGAGCGGTTTAAGTGTCTTAAACATAATTTATTTAGAGATAATGGAAGTGGATCGTTGATATTGCCAGCCACGCCAAACTATAAATAATGTATCACACGACCAGAATAAGGTTCTGTGTGCTAGGCTAGAACGAACACCATTGAATAAAAACTAGAGCAGATTATGATTGTTTATGGCATTGCATTGCAGTCCATACATTGCAGTCCATACAAGGTGCAATTAACTGGAAACTAGCGAAGTCATTTCTCTGAATGTAATTTCTCTCCTTTTGAAGTCACATTTATCTCAGTCACTACCTATGTTTCAATTTTCACTTCTAACGAAAAGGAGTGAACATAGCATACTGCACTTGCATCCGATGTAGAACTTAAAAAAGCAAGCTACAGCTGGTTTTGTGCTGTGGCTCGTAAGTCTGTGGAATAATCTGAAACCAATTGTTTCAGCTACTATCCAATGAGCAATGGGGTTGTTTCGTCTGAATTAAAATGCACTGAGGTCAATTTGACTTGTTCTTGGCGCATGGTGATCAAGCTAGCTTCAGGACACTGCAGCACTGACGCTCGATCACACTTCACGATCAGCATGTAGTCTCTGGCCATACCAGAATACAATTAGCATACTCCGAAGAGAAGGTTTGAGACGAGACAAGGATAATATGCTATCCATGTGGGTGCTAAAAACTTTTCATTTATTTGCAATTGAGTGCAGAACGGTGGGAGTAAGCAGCGCCACTTAACCGCTATTAATTTCCTACTATCATGTGCTCGATCTGTCGGTTTACATTGAAAACTCATTTTTCATAGTGCATTTTAAAAAATGAGATAAATCAAACGAAAAAAGACAGCTCTGGGCGGTTCCCTTATGTGTCGTGTCCACCTACATACTGTCCACTGCCCACTGTCCAGTGTCCAGTGGCAGAGTCCACCGTTTGCAGCCTCCCTGGCACGGGCGCGATGCTGCCCACTGCCTGCTCGAGCCCACTCACTGTGAGGTAGGCTGTGCCGCGGTGCCGCCGAGTCGCGCGGTACAGTCTACCCTGTCAGGTACTTGAGCCGCTCCGGCTGCTGGGCCGCTCGGACGCGACCGTGTAGCGACCGCGCTCAGCGCTGCCTTCAGCGGTGCAATGCAAGCTTTTGAATTAACCGTTGAAAGAATAAGGGGCGATTCGGCGTACAACAACTAACAATATGCTCCAATTTTATTTTCTAAACGACGTACAGCTAACGCGTCTCTAATAATCTCTATACCTAACCATTACAGAAATAGCCACAAGTAGGTAGGTATGTGCACTGTGCAGTCCACAGACCACAACATCTTTTTTTTCGCAAAACTACACTTTTTTCGTCACAGCTACACTATAGAGGGGATTGAGGAATCACTAATCAATTTACATTTCACATCAGCAATGATTCTAACAGCAGGTTTGAAAGGGCCAAGCTATGCCAAATCGCTTCTGATTGTTGTTCAACACGACGATTATTTTCTCGCATTTCCATTGCCGCTAACATGATATCATGGCTATTATTTCGCGTCGTATTCAGCTATGAGCCACGCCCCCTGGGCCCTGCCACAGGCGGCTATGGATTCGCGGCTCTATATCGTTCGCCGATCAGTCGGACTCGGTCGGTGGCCGGGCTATTTTCGTGTCGGCACTCACGCAGGCCGTTCTGTGGGTACAGGTGTACCGGCGTCCCCCTCCCCCGGCCCCTCCCCACACACACCTGGTCGCTCCCACAGCCGTGTCCGCCGCCGCCGCCCGCCCCGACCCGCCGCGCCTCGCTTTCTGTCAACGCCGTGACGTCACCGGACGGGCCTGGCATCGGTCCAGCGGACCCCCGTCAACTGATGACGTCACTGGGATGCGTCACAGCACCACGACCTTCCCGGGCAGCCTTGGACGGTCGGCCGCCACCCGGACGAGCCGACACGGCGGTGCCACACAATACACACGGCGCCGAGCAGGGCGCCCACACGAACTGAAGGGGCCGCCGCGCCGGCTGCCCTCCTCATCGCCTTCCGGTCAGCTCTGACCGGGTCAGACACCGCGGTCACTGCTGACCGGGTTAGACACTGCGGTCACTATGGGCACCATTTTCTGCGGACCATACCACTGTGACCTGGCCGCAGAATGGCTCAATTTTATGCGTTCACAGTGTATTT